AGATGAAAAAGAATGCTTTTGAACTTACTCCCTCAAAAGCAGTTGTACCAATGGTCTGGGGCAGGGTAGAAGTGAGAGGATTTGGGTTTAAAATTTACTCCCCATACAGAGAACATGACCTTTGTATACTTGTACCACTGAAAACAAACATACTAATCTGATTCCATCTTATTTAACAAGAGAAACAGAGTGATGAAAAATTGCCAAACACTCCTCTCATTGCAAAAAGGGAAAATGGCAGAATAAAGTTATACATAAGGAGCTCGTTAATTGATAAATGGATAAGCAAAACACAGAATATTATTTAGCCATAATAAGGAATGAAATACTGATACATGCTACAATATGAATGGACTTTGAAAACATGCTAAATGAAAGAAGCCAGTCAGCAGGACCACAGTGTATAATTCCATTTATATGCAATGTCCAGAACAGACAAATCTGTAGAGACAGAAAGTAGATGAGTGGTTGTTTAGGGCTGGGAGGAATGATGGCATAAGGGGTATAGGGTTTCTTTTGGGGGTAAAGAAAATTTTCTAATTTTTGACTGTAGTGTGAATACACATTATATGAATATACTAAAAGCCACTTAATTGAACACCTTCAATTATATGAGATGTCAATGATATCTGTGAGGATCATGGTAAAGAAATAAATTGGAATCACTATAGTCAAGCTGCTAAATTACCATAATCAAGTAGGTTGAGGCTGAGGAAACAATTCTGCTCTTGCCCTAACTAGCCTGGAAACTTAAACTATTGAATTTTGCAGTCCTGTGTCAATGTCTGGACATACATTAGTTCAATTCATTGTGTGTCAAGACCTCGACATACATCAGACCTCCAAATGCCTCCCTGAAGGACACATGTATCCAGGCCATCTGACGTTCACCTGACATCCATCGTTCAGAACGTTGGATGTGAGCAGACCTCCTGGCACCTGTTCTCCAGGCCACTGGGTATTTGACTAACTGCCTTGGACGTAACCAAGGGTTAAGAATGCAAAACTAATGATTAAAAATGCTTTTTTGGTATAAGAACTTAACTTGTCTGCAGAACATTTCAGTTTTTTGGGCCTTGTATGTTTCTGGTTTGCAACCCCAAGATCCTTGAGTAAGTCTTTAGTATTCATTTCTAGCCAAGCCTCCAGACTTTTTTCAAATCCCTTCAACATCTCAATAAAGCTGTTAACAGGTCAAGGACTTAGAACAGGCACATAGCAATTGTTCAATGGTAAGATGAGCCACTAATGCCATTCGCAGTATCATATTATCCCTTATGAGAGTGTTTAAGAATCAGAAATGCTTTGGCATCTTATTCTCTAAATAATCTCTCTCCTGCTCCCTTTAGGGACATTCATGTCAACACTTTCCATCATGTGTGACCTCATTTTCTTTCCAAAATTGCCATCAAGCCCTTCCCAATTTCTCTATGACTACCGACACTAAAACCACCTTTAAGTCATGCAATCAATAACTACAAATACTTCTATCAGCACAATTAATCCATCCAATTATTTTTATTCCTTAACTAAAACTCTATCTTAAGCCCTTGCTCACAACTGACCTAGTTTCTTCCCTAAATTCTCAGCCAAGAAACTACACAGAAACAGAATAGAATCCTCTTCCTTGAATATTGTTCAGATAAACTACCCTTCTGCTAAGAAATTCACACTAATTTCTCTGGAGTCAAAAGTCAAATTCTTAGCATTGTGTACCCAGTCTTCCATAAACTAGGATCTTCCCTAAATTAAACTGACTCTAAATCTTCACTTCTGTCATTCTCTTACTCAAGCTTTATGATCTAGTTCAAAGGTTCTTAATCTAATAAAAATTGGAGGATTTGCAAACTTTTATATATATCTTTATTGTTACTAACTTCTAATTGAAATGTATAGCATTTCCATAGTAAGAAACCATATTAGTTTAATAGTATTTGTGATGATGTTATTATTAAAAATTACATTTTATTATGGCAGTTGTGGCAGATTTCTTTAAAAATAGTTTAGGTTCATCCCTCTTTCAAATTGTATGGTAGTTATGAGACATAATGTTCAGTCTTATTATTTAATGTTTTAATGAAAAATTAAATTAATAAAAACATTAGTGAACTCCAAATGTTTTTATTTAGTTAGTATTGATAACTATCACTGATGGCCCAGAATTTTTCTGAGAAAGAGAAGATAAAGTTGATTTAAAACAAAACAAGGTAATGTACCATAGCTTTTTTTACTCACTCATCTACTGATGGACACTTGGGCAGCTTCCAAATCTTAGCTATTATAGATAACTCTGCAGTGAACATAGGGGTGCATATATCCTTTCAAGTTAGTGTTTTGGGTTTCTTCAGATATTCTCCCAGAAGTGAAATTGCTGGGTCATAAGATAGATCTATTTTTAACTTTCTGAGGTAGCTCCATACTGTTTTCGACAATGGCTGTACCAGTCTACATTACCAAAAACAATATACAAAATTTCCTTTTTCTCCACATCCTTGCCAGCAACTGTTGTTTGTTAATTTATTGATGGTAGCCATTCTCACAGGTGTGAGGTGATATTGAGGTTTTAATTTGCGGTTCTCTGATGATTAGTGACATTGAGCATTTTTTAATATGTCTGTCAGCCATCTGCTTATTTACACAATGGAACACTACTCAGCCATGAAAAAAGAAGGATATCTTACCCTTTGTGACAGAATGGATGGACCTGAAGAGCATTTTGCTAAACAAAATAAGTCAGAGAAAGGCAAGCACCATATAAGTCATATATGGAGTTCAATGAACAAAATAAACAAAATAGGAACAGACTCATAGATAAAGAACAGATTGAGGGCTGTCTGAGGGGAGGAGAGATGTGGGGTTGGGTGAAAGATGTGAAGGGATTAAACAAAAAGAAAACAAAAACAAAAATCAAAACTCTTCATAGACACAGACCACAGTATGGTAATTACCACAGAGAAAGGGGTTTGGGGGGTAGGTAGAAGAGGGTATAGGGGGAACAAATGGTAATGGAAGGAAACTTGCCTTGGGGTGGTGAACACACCATATAATATACTGATGATGTATTACAGGATTGTATGCTGGAAACCTATATAATTTTAAAACGAACAAAGTTGATTTGTTTATACTAATATGAAGTAATTGTTAAGATACATTGCTGAGTAAAAAGAATCAAGGTGCATATAAACAAACAAACAAACAAAACAAGTTATCCTAGTTGGTCTGAGTTCTTGTTAGAAATTTAACATCACGGATTCCATCTCGTTGTTTGCCAACTCATGTCACTTGGCTCCCTGGCCGTTTGGTCTGTCTCCCACTTTTGGAGTTATTTTATAAGAGGGACAAGGGGAGAAACTAAGAAAAAGAAAACATACTAGACATACTGCTTAAATTAAAACCATAAATATAGTGTTTTACTTGGATATCAGAAAACAGTTATCTCACCGAACTGTTAAGAAGAAAAGTATATTTTTATGTTTGAAAAAAAAACACTGATCTCAATGCATTTATGTTCATTACCCTTTTACTCTATTACTTAACTTTTACAGGCTTAAAATATTTAAAAGCATGTGAAGTTTTACCTAGTCTTGAACATCAATGAATTAATTAAAGAATCTAATTCCCATAGAAAAATATTATTCTTAATGGCAGTGTCGTCCATGAATAATCTTTCCCAACCTAAAAATGCACTAATTCATTTGTGTTCTGCATTCAAGCAGCTCTAAATGGTATTAAGGTTCATATTTCCTTTTTAGTTTTCCAGATATTAGTTCATCCACTCACATCAAGACCAGACAAGCAGTTTTCATTTGATTAACTAGTTTCTTTTTAAAAAGAATGAATTCTCTCTCAGCACACTCACACCCCAGATACAGAATATGAATTCTAACTCCTGCTTCAAGACAGAATAAGGATTCCCAACAGATCCAAGAAAAAAAAAATACTGTATTTTATGTTGTAAAGATTATGAAATGGATGTTAAACTAATGCTGTGCTTCTAATAGACAGTTTTTACATAAAAATTGGGATGTAAAATATGCCTAAATAATATAAGAAAAATATTCTATCTAACATATTAGGATTAAAAATATAAATATTAATATAGAAGACTTCTGGTGCAGCATGGTTTTAAATTAGGCTTCAATACTAAAAAAAAAAACCAAAAACAAGTGCTTTGTATATCACCAAAGCTTCAGAGGGAAAAATAATATTCAAGTTCACTAGGCCTGGGCCTTTATTTGTAATGTTCACCTAACAGACTTTGACATCTTTGGTTTTATTGGGGAAGTATAAAGTCTTGAAAGATGGCATAGGGCCAATTGACATCTCCAGGATTATGAAGTAAGAATAAAATTAAAGCTCTTCAGTGGAGATCAGGACAAAGAGCTAATGTAAATTCTTCACACTTCCTACATATTTTATTCATTAAAAAGCATAGCAAAGTTAGGACACTTTTCCTATGCTAACACCATCCTGTAGAAATAAGAAAACAGTGAAGGCATATAACTATTCAACGCCATTTTGGGATGTTATGCAAGTTTGACTGCGAATAAAATCCAGCTGCTACAATGAGCAGGTTTTTGGTGAGTGGAAAACTTAAATAAGTCCTAGGAAATATTGTCCCAAATTTAAAAAAAAAACACAATGTATCGTAGCTATTTATATAAGAGAAAGTAGTTTGTAAATAAAGATTTCTATTTTCTTAAGAGTATCATTGGTATATATCAACCAAAGACATGTACTTTTAATACACTAGGAAAATAATGGCTTAGAGGCAGATTTGGGTTTTTGTTGTCGCTATTGTTCATTATCTGTGAAAAAATACTATAAGCTGACACTCAATAAGCCTATTTGATGGATGAAAAAGGATCAGCTTCTCCAGGTCTACAAAGGTGAAAAATGTAGTCACTATCCTAAGAATGAACTTGGTCGAACTTCAGAAGAAAATAATACTTTCTCTTTTTCATAGATATTAAGACAGTATCAAAATGAAATTTTTTTAGGGGCAGAGTGCAAACGCAGTCCACCACTCCCACAAGTTATTCAGCTGAGTTTCCCACATTTGGGGAAATCACAGGGGTCGGAACATCCGGCATGCAATGGATAAGCCTCGCCCTGGGAGAAACACCTTCAGGATCATGGTATCTCCCCTGCCAGGTAAGTATAGTATCAAAACAAATTAAAAGCAGGGACATGAAAACCTCCAGAGAAGATCCTCACCTGCAGCAAGACAGAAACATTTAGACCACTGAACAGACAGAAATCCCCACCTGATGGGAAAACAAGAATGTGCGCTTGATGAATGATTCCGTGCTTCCACTGGGCAAGAAACATATTTTCTAGTCCCTCTCTATAACCACTAAAAATATGAGATACTCTCTAAGGTATTAGAACCTGTGTTGAACAATGATTACTTAATCATATTAATGAAGAGCCATGTGTAATCTCAGACTTTGCGGTCCTGTGCCAGAAGATGATGAAATGTTCACTAGGATATTCTAAAAAAACATATTATATAGCTTTCTGCAATTCCACAGAGGCATGTTGCAGGCAAGTCTTCCAAAAGGAATCATAGTCATGAACTGAGTTCAGTATGACTTCCTGAAAAAGATTTAGACAAAATTCAGTCTCTGTGTTATATCTAGTTATGGGGTAGACAGACTATGAACATTTTATCATAGAAGATATAGGTGAAGAAGGAGGAAGAATTGGAGAAAGGGCTCAGAAAGAGAAAAGCAGGAAAGTTGAGTGAAGGAATTGTGGAATTATAGGAGAGATAAGGATAAGGGATTGGATATAAGCAAAGAGAAAAGGTGGTAAATTAAGGCATCCAAAATAACAGTTAAGTATTTCTGATTACCTGCAGTTTCATGTTGGCCATTAGGAGAACTCTCTTTCCTGTGTTTCTCCTGAAAACTGTTCAGAGCTAAACCATACAGGGATGCTAACTCCTGCTGATAGTTCTTCATAGAACACCTGTTGTGTAGACCCTGGATGGCTTAGTTGCGTTAATCCACTGAGTATTCATAGCCATTGGAAGAATGGCAGGGCTGGGAGTGATATTCGTTACTATGGGGCCCACAATTCCTTATCTGCTCTCTAAATCCAAGTTATTCTTATTTCATTTTAAAATTTGAACTGAAATAATATGAGGCTATTTATTGTCTTTATTTGACCTCAGTGATCATTTATACATTTCGCTACAGAAGTGTTCATGTGTCTGGTTATAGGTGCTGCCTCAGGCCCCAGGTGGGGTATTAGGTAACAGGTCGGATATGCACTATAGTACTTCTGTAAAGTCTGAACAATCTGGCCCCAAGGGCTCTGGGGAAGGCCTTGCAGATGTGCACTCTTGTACTCGGGACAAGGCTTCTCCTTTAATTGTGAGTAGGCCCTTGTGAGACAGTCGCCTACAGAAAAAGTTTGCCTCTCAAATGAGAAAATACTGCTGAGATAAGGAAACACACATATCTAAAAATGTTTTTTAGTCTCTTGGATTTTACTGTAAGAGTTTCAAGAGAGACCTAAGAACATGCCTATGACGATCAGGTCATCCTTCCCAAAGTGTGCAGACCAGATGAAGAAAATATGTTAGAAAAAACTCAAAAAAAGAACAGAACCTGAAAGAGAAGATGAAGATCAAATACAATGGATAAGGACAGTTGTTTTCTTTTGATTTAAAGTTCAAGGCAGCAAGTTTCCTTTACATAGTTTGGGTCATGGGAAAGATGTAAACTTTATATTCTTAAATCTTAAAACTGTTTGTAGAAACACTGAAGTGTTTTGTGGGAACTAATGCATTTTAGAAATTGAAAAAGAAGTAAATGAACTTATTTAAAAAAGATTTGGAATAAAGTATAATAAAAATCCATATAGACAGACATAGCCAAGAATTAAGATATAAAATAGGAGGAAGAAGAAAGAGACAAAGAAGGGAAATTAGGCAAATATGTAACTTCCTTCTCATTTTATGTATCTAGAGTAAGAGGAAACTTTCTGGAGGAAAAAACGTCTGGCTCTGGGAAGTAAGAGAAATCAGCATGAGCATCATTGGACCAAAAAATTGGCACCTTCTGTAACAGATTCACTCAGACAGAGAGTTATTAACTATATGAATATTATATCACAAATTACTAAATATCCACTTTTCCTAAACTACTTAAATGAGGAAAAAATGCAGATACTACTCAGTTGAAAGAAAATATAGGATATATAAATCAATGAACACTTACCATTGAACTCTATTTCTTAAGGGCAGGAACAATCTTTCAAATATATATCTTAGTAACAAATGCCCAGCACTAAAATGGTATTTGCTGATTAAATGCTTGGGGAGGGTTTATGGGTTAATGTGAAGACTTTTCTTCAGAGAGACCAGCACTTTTTTTTTTTTACCTGAGTGTTTTAGTGTTGAAGAATTGCAAGGCTATTTTTAACAGGCTTATTCAGTTAGCATGGCAGGCAGCTATAGAGAGTGGAGACTTACGTGTCCAGCGACACATGACATTTTAAGACCTATGAGTCTTCCCCAAACACAGTGCTATAAAATGTCCTTTTGCAAAAAGTACTGGAATCAAGTAATTATCTACTTTTGAATTTTAATGAATAGGCCATCTGTTCATTCAAATTGAAAAAATGAAATTTTTCTACAAATTAACTACTTGATGAGATGCCCCTTGTGACTAAATCTGCTTTACTGCTTTCTGTTATATTTAACCTAAAGGTGACACATAGCATATCACACCAAGTTTTGTAAACTAGAGTATGGAAAAATGTTTTTCTTAATCATGGAATAAGCCTAGTACCTGTTTCTTTGATGGGCTGTATTTATCAATTATCAAAGGTTAATTTTTATTACCATATTTCCACACTATTAAAATGAGTCACTAGGAAGAAAAAATGTGTCCATTTTTATCTGTGATGATTATGGCAAAAATTTAACTACACATATTGTTTTTGGGGGGGGGCATTATCACTATAATGGCAAATAATTGTTTTCAACCTCCTTATCTTCCTATCTGAGAACATTTTGTTTTCTTTGTGCTGTCCAATATGGCAGCCATTTACCACATGGGGCTATTTAAATGTAAATTAATTAAAAATAATTAAGTTTAAAATTCATTTCCCCAGTTGCACCAGCCACTCATCAAATGCTGCATATGGCTACTGTACTGACTGTGCAGAATATTTGTATCTTTTTCAGGAAGTTCTACCTGACAGCACTCTAGCATCCTTCTTACCCTGCTAAAACCAAGAAAACAGGCCCAAAATAGATTCACGTATGCTATGACCCACATCACCACCAAAGTGAGACTTCATTCCAGTTTCAGCTCTAAGGGGAATAGAATCTTCACCCAGTCAGCCATGAATCACCTGATGAGAGCAAGTGAAGTAATCTACCTGGCAGGCCCCTACCAGCTCCTGAAGGAAGGCCCCTTGTAATCATTAGCCCACTTTTTCCCTTGGCATGACTTTCTTTTTCCCCTCTCTCTTCTGCCTGTAAGTCTTTGATTTTGTGTAGCTTCTCCGAGCTCCTTTTGGTCTGTTAGATTGAAAGCTGCCCTATTCAAACTGATTTTTTTCCCTAAATAAACTCTTAAAATTTTTAATGTTTCAGTTATATTTTAACACCTCTACTCATCATCCCTTTGAAGAATGATTACTTTTTTCATCTACGAAGATCAACTTTTCACTTTTACTCTCAGCTGTATTTATTTTTTTAAACCATTTCAAAGATACACCCCTAACACTCATACTTGGCTCTTCAAAAGATCATGCTTTTCTACAACGAGTTGATGTATCTTTTAGTTTTTAAAGTCCTGAGGAGAAAGAAGGATAAATTTTATATATAGTTTTATGAAACAAAAACAAAATTGGTGGCTCTTTTTAAATAATGCAAAAATAGCAGCATGATTTTGGCAGAAAACATACTATATTCATACCAGCAGCTGCAGATTTCAGTCTAATTAAATATGAAAATACTATTACAATCTGAAATTATACCTATGTTATCAAATTAGTACGCTTAATATTACATTTACAGAAAGTATCCAAGATGCAGCCTTTTAGAAATGAGCATGCTCCATCTTCCCTTATTGTCTAAGATAAAGGCAGGTTCTCTACATATGAAGTTAAACTAGGACCGAACCATCTCATTTGAACTTATTTAGTAGGAGCTTTAATTTTAGTTTTTACTTTTATTAGCATTTATTTTATGCTGAATTTACTCCCAGGCCATACATACATTTTTGTTTCTTTGGTTTCTTCTGGGATATAACTTTCTTCTGTGCAACCTCCTCTTCTAGTTAAGAAACAATTTGCTCTTTTCAGTAACATCGCCTCAATGTGGCAGGGAGGGCTCATATACGAGTTAGTCTGCCCATGAGCTGTGTGAGGTTTTTGCCACATCTTGGGAGATTTTTTTCACCTGGTTGTGCTCAATGACCATAGATCTACATCTAAACCTTCAGTTCAGCATTACTCTCCGCATTTTTAAGTATATGCAGCAAAAATTCAGCACTCTTTTTGGGCCACCCACTCTGTTTCCAGCCTCACTGTTTGGCCTGGGCACACCTACCATCTCTACCACTGAAATTTGGAATGTCACACACTCCTTTTGTAAAGTGACACCCTTCAGATACTTAGCGGTTTTTCCGATATGCCTGCTATTGACGGTTTGGGCAGTTTCACAAGTGCTTTGAAAGTGAACACGAAGATTTGAAACTCTGGATTTACATAAATTTGTGGGGTTTTCTGGGTCAAGTAAATAGAAAATGATTTTCAGAGGTCACCTCTGACCGCTTTTGGGAAGAGTTAATAGTAGCTTTAAATTTATATAGCCCATCCCTGTCAGATTTTATCTATAAGATGGCACTGGTTTGGGAGGCAGCAGAATTCATTTTTCTTCTTCAAGTCTGACCTTCTGTGGCTCCCAGTTTACTCTCCACACACCCACCGCTAACACATAAACCCCTCACAGCAGCCTGCCCAAGGCAAGATGATGAGGTTCATTTTTCTCATACTAGCTTCCTAGTTGCCACAATATGACTAGTGTAATAATTAAAATCCCCCTATGTCCATCACAATTTATTTCTCCCACTCCTTTTCCTCTTCTGCTTATAATTCTTTACATAAGAGAGGACTCCCCTATCCCAAAAAGGGCACT